CGCAAATCGCGAAAATCGCGAAAATCGCGCAAATCGCGAAAATCGCGCAAATCGCGAAAATCGCGCAAAAATCGCGGACTCTGACACCAGCCTAACAAATAGTTCTAGGAGTGTCAATACTTAACGGGGCTATCTGAATCGTTCTAGTAGACCAATAGGAGAACAGGACGTAATCATTTGTTGATCTTTCATGTCAAAATACACCCTTCTGCTGGCTTTTACATGAACAAGTGTTTCGTGGTATCACATGACCAAACGTGGTTCTTTGTTTCCTGCTGATATGCGTCCTGCAGTCCCATTGTACCACGTTTTCCTTTCAGATTGTCGATGGCTGGTTCATACAAGTTGAAGTTTGTGAGTGGTGAGCTTCCTGAAACAACAGAAGAGTTCTCGTTGACCAATTCTGAACTTGCAGCTTTCCCTCAATCTTTTTTCGCTCGGTTGGTTTCTTTTTACTCTCTTGCAGTTGCAGTCAGCCAGTCTCACTTGTATATTATATTGAGTTACATTAAATTTCTTATTAGCTGTTCTACTTTTGCTTTTGCACGTCATTTTTTCACATTTTCCATTTTGTCGCATAATAATAGCAAAGGCTAATTTTTATTTTTAATTTTCTCGCATATGGTGTTGCATTGAATTACATGTCATTATTCAGTTTACATTCCCTTTTAAAGGTGCATGCTCTGTGATCAATTATTTATTTGTAATTTTTTCAGGGCGCGTCTGCTTCAGCTTAACGTGAGTGGATCAGATTTTGACTGTGACCCCTGCGTTATGCAGTGGTCACTACCAGTTGGTTCCCTAATGAAAAATCAAACTCAGTGCCCACCAGTGTAAGTTTCGAAATCACCATTTTTAAATTGATGGTCCCAAGTCGCTCAATATGTACAGGGTTTCAAGTTTATTGTAAATAGATATATGCTGTTTAAGAGTTCCTCTGAAAAATTGTACGCTGGGGATATCGCAACACGATCCAGAAATCGTTAGAGCGGTGCTTGGGGATTCAGTAGTTCTTCCGTGCACTGCTTATGGTGCCCCACAACCCAGCATTGAGTGGTCAGTTCAATCTAAAAAATTTCTCGTCCTGTATTTTTCGTGAGTCACCACTTTCATATTGCCTTTTTCAGGTGGTTGTATCGTCCAAAGACTTTTTTGGGAGTTTTTGATCCTCAGTCGGGTGAACAGGAGAACTCGACACAAGACTGGTGAGCGTTTCAATATTCTTCAGAGATTTGAGTTCGTTCGTTTTTTCGACTTACATTTGCATTCCTTTTACAACTTTTTTTTTAAATTCTCATTCAGTTGTGTTTTTTCAACTTTGGAGTTTGCAGTTTATTTTGAGCTACTTTTTTTCGCAAAATAGGCGGAGGCTCACTGTGTTTCTGAATAAAATTGGCGAGGAATGGGAGCAACCAAATTAGTGTAGGCAAGTGGCGCTGCTTTCCTCGCGCGCGGTCCGGGGATCAAATCTCGGATCGTGCGCCGCTCAGGCGAACCAAGCTTTCCATCTCTCCGAGCTTGGTTTACTGGATCCAGGCTTTTTCTGGGAGGATAAGAACACTGGCAAATACTTGGATATTGGCTGGCCTTACAAGTTTTGAAGTCGAAATCATATTGAGAATGTCACTACGGTTTCAAGAGGAAGTAGAATGCCTGGCGCATCCGAAAAGGGATCGATCAATGTCGACTTCATCCTCTACCGAAACAAAGCAACTATGTCTAAAATATGTTTTCAGTTGCTCCGTGCTGGGTGGTGGCGCTTTACTACTTCATAATGTTAATCGATCCATGGTGGAACGATATGTTTGCGTTGCACGGCAAGGGTTGAATTCCGTGCAGAGAGTTGTACATTTTCGGTAAGCGCCTTTCCATACGATGGTACTTTCTGAAACGGTTGTTGATAACTGCTTTTACTATAGACTTGACTACTCGAGCTGGTATTCTCTTGACCTGTTCAACAGTGTATTTTGGGGAGGAATAGCGACGGCCGTGCTTGCTTGTTCCTTCTCCTTTCTACTTAACATTACTTGGATTTTAACAAGAAAAAGTATCCTTTGGTGGATACAACGGTATGTCTTCTTTTCTGATTACTTTTGGCCATATTTTATGTGTCTTATGGGACAACATTATGACGGCTCCGTGATTGCCGAACATTTCGGACAACACGAGCAATTAATTGTGCTGGTTTCACCACTTGCACTGCAATTAGTGAGTGACCATTTCCGGGCACCTCTCCTTAGGTGTTCTCAATTTCAGTGCTGAACGTCTTTCTCGTGTTCGTAAGATGGTGGAAGCGATGGAGAAATACCGTGCACGACAGATGGAGGGTTTACAAGCAAAGTATACGCGAAGAATGCAAATGGTCCGCGAAAACTATCATGCACAAGTAAGTTCAATCGCTGTTGCTGCAGTTGGTGTTCTGCCTTGGTTTGAAGCTTGATGTTAAGGTGGAACAACTGCGACTTTCGTACAGTTCTCAAGCTGAGAAATTCCGTGACTATCGTGCTGCACAAATGGAACATATGTCTTCTCATTTGGAGAATATCAGGGAAAACTATAATCAGCAAATGCAACGTGTAAGGGAGTACGGATCACGACGAGCAGAGCAGTTGTGGGAAAGCTACGAGCGCCAGGTTTCTTTTGTGCAGTTTTTTTTGTGTTTTCACAAGTAAGGGGTGTGTAAGGCATCAAAGCCTCTTCAAGCTTTGACTTTTATCTCTAGAAAGGAGTTGAAACGCAGGTTGAGCCGGGCTATATCGTATTCAAGGCATGCTCGCCGCTGCTGTGGTCAGCAAGCTTCTAGCTTTTGAAATTTTCTCCATAGTTCCGGTTCTAATTTGAGAGGAAAATGGAAAATTTGCACAAAAATCTCTTTAGTACTGTTTCTCAGAAGCATTTTTTCAGGTGAACAGAGTCAAGGCGTTTAGCTTGCAGCATCGTCTCAAAATGATGAGGCAGTACAAAGTGAAGCAGAGGTACTTGAACAGGCTACTTGAGTCGTTTCAAGACACCACCGTTAGCCCCGAAGCACTGCGGCAACAGGTGAGAATTTACTCGACTTCCTTCAAATATTTTTCTTCATTCCTTAATCTTGTTCTTTTGTTTTTTTTTCAGTGGTTTTATTTCAAAATTTTAATTGCATGTGTACCTTTTTTTATGGATAACATATTATAGGAGCAAGAAGTGCGGGCTGCATTGGAATTGGCTGTTCCACCCGTGTCTCCAGAGCCACATCCACTACCGTTGTCGCGAACCTCCTCTTTTTACTCTCTACCAGAGTATGTCATTGATGATGAAGGAATCTTGAGACCAAGCCCGATTATTGGCAGGTGCGTTTTGTGATTCTTTATAGAATTTTTCTTTTGAATTTGCAATTGGTTAATGGCATGATGGAAGTTCAATATCTTAACATTTGACAGTTGATTGTTGTGGCTTTGGAAGGATTGATTTTTCTGACTGAAAGAACCACAACTTAGTCTGCTGCCGCTGCTGACCAGATGGAGGCATACCTTTCAATTGCGGAAAGTGATGCTCAAGCTCAATCTCTTCACCATTTTTACGATATTATTGCGCGCTGCTAAAGTGGTCGTACCCATTCAGTTTTTATGACTTGATCGCTGTCACGCGCGCTCGAGCCAGTTTTGAAATCAAAGGTGGTTCAGAAGCATCGGTGGCGATCGAATTGAGGCGTCAGAATTTGAAGATGAAACATAAAGTGTGAAAATGTTCGCCAATGAGAAAAAAGGGAAACCGTAGGTTACTTTTGAGCGCTCCTTTTTCTCGTGAGCTCGATTGTGGTACAGCGGAGCGATAAAACACACCTGTACCGGAAAGATACGCAAGAGAGCACGGCGTACGGGAGGTTGCAGACATGCGTTTGCTGGGAAAAGTAAAAACGGTTTTAGCGGTTACGGAGGCATCAGTGTCTTCATCGCGTTTTCGAGTCGTGTTAGTATCAGGACTCTGCGCCTGGGGGCTCTG